CCCCAAAACCCCAAAACCCCAAAACCCCGTATAAGCATGCTATCTTTGAAATATATAATAACTGAACTACCCTAATGTGGAGTCATCCAAAGTGCAAAATGACTTCAAAATGCTTACATATAAGCTATTCAGTCTCCAACCCTTCTGGTTCAGAGGGGGTAATAGGAATCTGACAAAATTGAGCAGACACTGCTTTTACAGGAATAGGTTTGAAGAAGATTCCTCGTTTTGATGAGGTCAAGAAGAGTGTTCAGTTTGGTAAGCTCCTGTTGTTTGAAAGCAGTTTGGTAATAATTCTTGATGTATTGCTATTTTAGGTGTCTTGGAACTTTTACAAGGGTGTTAGTAGAAATTTCTGCTGAAAATAGGCCTTTACTAATAATTATTTTTCGTATTTTGAATAGGCTTATTCGTCAGAATTTGACCGTTTATGGTTTAGCCGAATTCAACCTCAGAAAAATAGAAAGTGTTCTGGTAGAACTTGATGAATTACTTTGGCAAGGATTTAGCACTCAACTGCAAAGCCTATGTCAGGGAGTCAATGGTATCACAGGTAGGTGCTATTAGAGTGTCATAGAAAACGAATTTGTTTGAATCCTTCATCCTTAAAAAGGTTGGATGAGATTCAAATTTAGTTTTGACCAGACCTTATTTTTTATATTTAGAGAAGCTTGAAATAGCTAAAGAGAATAAAGACTGGGCAGAACTATTCCAACTTCAGACTGATTTTCACAAACTCCTAAACTCAATCATTGAATCAAAAATGATGAGCTTCTATATTCGCCAAATCCATTTGAAGGAGTTTACAGAATTTCAAGACTCTTCAAAATCCTACCCTTCAAAAGGAGCTTTTATAAATTCATCCTCATCATTTGACCATAGTCAATCCCAAACAATGTCAAAGCTAAATTCCTTCGAAAACTCTGAGGATATGGGTGCTATTGCCATTAGAACTCCGACTGATGATGCAGCTAATGCTGAAGCTTTAGTCCCAGTGAAGCCTCAAGAATACTTCATCCTAAAGCCTCCAGTTGAGCCGTTCCTCAGCAGGCAGATGGAAAGTGGTTATGATAGGAAGACTACTAATGAAAATGACAGACTAATAGAGGAAACTAAGACAGAACATGGTGGAATAGACAAGCCTTTATTACATAAAATAGATCAGAATTGAAGCGTTTATTCACATTTTCAGGGTAAGTTTTTCTTTTATATTTAAAGCTCCACTGCATACTCTGACAGATGATGAACTTTCTCTTTTATATACCTTTGCTAGTGAAGACCCTACTCCAATAAACTGTCATTCCACAATACAATTCTGTTTGGTGTATCCTAAATGGAAAAAACTAATGAGTTTGCTCCAAAACTTTAAGCTTCCTCCTATGCTAAAGATAGTAATCAGAAATATCTTCGCTCTTAATGATCCTCCTCTTCTTAACAGATTCCTCAGCAACGCTATATCAAGCAACATCAGACAGCTAAACTTTTACACTGACGACATCGACACCCCTATCTGCCCTTACATGCCCACTCTTCTCAAGACCCTTCCTCAGATCCCCAACTACATCAGACTCTTCGGCCTCTCACTGACCCAGTCCCAGTTCGAGGCCCTGTTCTCAGCCAGTCTGAGCTGCAGAGGTCTGGCTCTGAACGGGTGCAGACTGGTCACGACTAGTGAGTGCAGGTTTGAAGGAGAAGAGTTTAACCTGAATGAACTGCTGTTCAAGGGGAATGGAGAGCTGAGTGGGTGGCAAGGGCAAGGAGTGCAGAGATTCTATAACATCCTGTCTGGCCTATTCAAACTCAAAAAATCCCACCAAAGAGACCTCCAAATAACACTTGAAGAACCCTCTGAAGTCCAAGAATGCCTTGCTGAACTAAAAGCTAAAGTGGACCTGCCATTGCTGAAGATTGAGTAATTTGATAAGAATTCCAAACTAGGAGGCTACAAGGGGTTTTGGGGTTTTGGGGTTTTGGGG